TTCTAGTGCACCTTTCTCTTTACTACGTATATTAAATTATTATCGTATCCAAACCATTGGCACAAACTACTACACTTGTGAGGCTAATCGCATAATGTATGTGTGCTTGCCCTTTACTATCCATAGCTGCATTCCGGACAAATGTGCCCAGTTTGCATGTCAACCAGGACAGGTCGCGAGCAACGAAGAGTTTTGTTCCAACGGCGATTGCTCTGGGTGCTGTGAGCAGCTGACGTGTGCGGATGATGCCCCGGCCTGTACTGATAGTCAGAGACCAGGGCTCCTTCCTTATTGTACGGGTATGCTATGCAAATGTATACATTCATATATATGTGTGTGCGTGTATTTAAATTACATGTACGTATTACTTACACAGACATCTGACCGGGCACACTTATGTATGAGCATAAACAAGATCTCCAGGTCAGGTGCCTGTACATTCCTGGACAAGTACTATAGTATCAGAAAGAGTTTTTTTGCATTTATTTTACCATATGCCAGGCCATACCAATGCTTGAACACCGACTTTTATCAAATGCACATTAGTATTGTGAACACCGCGACTGTTCTTGGACTGCAGTAAGCTTTGTCCCACCCATAGTAGCAGCAGCACAGATCTCTCCTTGATTGTGCGCATGCAGAAACCTTTGCTCCACGTCCAGTCATACGACACCCCCCACAATACTCCCCACCTTAAACCCTAAAACCCTAAACCCTGGAACATACACTCCTTATACCACAGACAACCTCTGCACCAACTACTGCGACGACCTTGTCTGCCAGGATGAGCGCCCATGTTTGGCCGGAGAAGTCGTATCCGACTCTGATCCCGAGCTGCTGTGCACTGATAGCACCTGCGACAACTGCTGCACGCAGCTCAAGTGCGACTTTGAGTGTGGCGATGCTTTTGAGAAGGTGTCTACCGCAGACACGGACTGTGTGGACAACGAGTGCTCCAACTGCTGCCGACAGTTGACGTGTGACGAGGATATTGTGTGTGACGGGGGCCAAGTGGAACTCGGCGATCAGGTCGACTGTGTCGATGCGGTATGTAGTAAATGGTAAGTATTAGTGTATGTGTGAGCAACTGATAAGCAATGGTGGATATGTGATAAACTGGTATGTTTTGGTGTATGTGGGAGCAACTGATAAGCAATGATGTATATGTGATAAACCGGTATGCTTTGATGTATTTGTGAGTATCCGATAGGCAATGAAGTGTATATGAGTTTGCATTTTTGTAAGTCTAAATCCAATTCTTATTTTTCAAAACGAGCATGATACTCACAGCCATAAATTCCCACCAATTATAGCTGTTTGCAGTTGGTGTGCGAGGACATCAAATGCGAACAATTTGGCGCCGGGATCATCGAGAACTTCAACGACCCTGACTGTCAAGATATCAACTGCCACAGATGCTGTTCGTTCAAGACATGCGATACTTATAGCAGTTGCCTAACAACGGAGAAGCGCACCGATTCGACGGAGTGCGTGTCCACAGGGTGCGAAGTGTGCTGTGAGACCAAGACTTGTAGTGCAGATAACGTGTGTGACAGCACTAAGGGAGAGTTTGACGCGGCTGGCCAGGTGCACTGCACCGATGCGAACTGTACCAACTGCTGAGAGGTGCTGGAGTGCGATGATTTCTCTACCTGCGCCCCCGGCAAAAATTTCACCAATGAGGAGTTCTGTGACAACAGATTGTGCACAAATTGGTATGAATCGACGCTTCTATGATTTGGGGTTTAGGGTTCTGCACTGGTTATTTTCGATTGTGTGAGTTCTAGGGTTTAAGAAAATAGGATTTTAGTACCTCGATTCTATCTATGGCCGAGTACACCTTTGCATTGGTTTTTGTCTTCGCATCAGTCTGTACATATAGCTAGAACAACTCTCGGTGACTCCAGAACATACTAGTACGACTGATAGGCTACTTCAGGTTAGCTTCTGTTGACGATAAGCTAACACAAGAAACACTGAGAGGTCTTGGATTATCTGGAACATACTCGTGCTGGAGAATGAGCTCACGCCTCATCTCGGTACACACTGGGATACATGTCCATATCAATATCCATGCGGAATACATGCAGTTCTCCCCATTTTCTTCAACCAGGATTCCAATCGCCGGTATTTGTTGTATGTTTTCGTACTTGTTTTGCTGTGTACCTATATCGTGCGATAATACAGTACTTTCACAGTCTTTATTTGTAACCCACTTCTTCCAATACATATTCTCATCCTATGCTCGATACATTACAACCCCCACCAACTCACCAGCTGTGAGCAACTGAAATGCCCGGCCACATGCCCAGGTGTCACAATACCAAGCGGCAACACGGACTGTTTCGATAACGCCTGCTCCAATTGGTGTGTCGATTTTTGTCTCTATGTTTATTCGTGTCTTTTATTTATTGTCTCGATACAGACGATTCCATTTGGTGTGTCGTTCTTTGTCTCTATGTATATTGGATATGATACGAGGCATTATTTAATTGTCTCGATGCAGACCATTTCAATTGGTGTGTCGTTCTTTGTCTCTATGTATATAAGATATGGTGCGAGGGGTTTTTAATTTTCTCGATTACGACCATTCTAATTTGTACCTTCATGTCGCTTGTACGTATATTCCAAACGCATATTTGCGCTTTATATTTGTCCTGGTAACGATGCCTTCAATACAATTTTACTGGTATGGTTTTCCTATATACTTATATATCTTTTTTTCTGGTATGGTTTTCTTATAAATTAGGATATCTTTTTCAGGTTCCTATGTATTTGTGTACTACGCTATACTCATACTTATTTACGGTCTCGAGTGGCATCACGAACTAGAGAAAACAGCAGCCACAATTGAGCTATATTTGTTGGATATATATATATATAGATGGTAGGTGTTATTAGCGCCAACATAAGTATTATTCGCATTTGTGTATAATGCAGGTGTTTGAGCTACTCGCGTACACTCGTTCTATACAGACACACAGTTATTGCGCACACCTTGCTTGTATACAACACTCTACTGTTCCATCCCGATGTATTCACGTGCACATGTATTAAGTCAAGAATGTGCATCCACTACTCGGCAAGGCATCAGTTCTAAGTGAATGCCCTATATTAGTGTTTTGGCTTTAAAGTTTAGGAACACCCTTACGTTTGCTCATAGTATGCATACCCACCTCCGGCCTCCCCCCAAAATAAAATGAAACAAACTAAAAACATTAAAACTCTAAACCCCTAAAACCCCCTCAGCTGCGTGTGACGACGGCAAGGTCAAGATCGATGACGTCAACGCCATGTGTTGACGTCAACAGCTGCGACAACTGCTGTCGGCAACTCACCTGCGATGACGAAATACCCACCTGTGACGACGGACAGTTACGGTACGATGAGGTGGGCCTATCCGGTGACTGCACAGACTCTGAGTGTAGTACGTGCTGTCTGCAGGTGGGCTGTGCCTACAACGCCGCCGGTGTTTAGGAGGGAACTGCGGACCGGGGTACTTGGTGTCGGGTGAGGTCAACTGCACCGGCGCTTTTGGGACGAGTGCACTCTGTGACAACTGGTGTGTGTGACTGGTGTTTGTTCTGGCCTGTGTTCTGTATGGTAGTCAAATTGGAATGGCTACTCATCCAAACACGTCACGAGTTGGTATTATGATCTAGGGCTACTCTAGGAGGTGCTCGTGCTGTGTTCATTAGATATCCCATACATTCCTCGTGCACTGGAGTGGTAATTAATAGTGTTCATCTGTCGCATTTAGACGTATGCTATAGTAAACATAAATGGCTTTCTTATATTGTGATGTGTTCGTCACGCGTCCTATACACCCCTCGTGTTCGGGAGCGATATTCAAGAATGTTCATCTAATCGTGTGTAGATGTGTATAGTACTCAGTAGCAGTTATCAGATATACTGATGCCGCGGTGACAGGTTCTTTGTGTGAGTACTGGGTATTTATTTGTTGCACTGTCCCTCTACTCTCTCTTTTGCTGTGGGTTCATCAGTGCCTGTGTTCTCCTACTATCATCGTGGCCCTTCACTGCAGTGCCGTGCACAGTACGTGTCATACTCGCAAGTGCTTTTGGACAGACACGTGTCATGTCACCATATGTTCTGCTATAGTTGAGTTGACAAGGGTTCATTACGTATACCTGTTGGTACTGCGGTCCACCCTGGTCCTGGTTAGATCTTTGAGCCTAAAACCTAAAACCCTAAACCCTCAATCTAGTCAGCCTGTGGCGTGCAGTCACACATCAGCTAAACTAAACCCTAAAACAAAATCCCTCAATCCTAAACCCTACATCTTGTCTTTCGTATGAAGCCATCCACGTTTATTTAATCCAAAAACTAAAACCACAAAACCCTAAACCCCAAAGCCAGAAAACCCTCAGCCCTAAAACCACAAAACCCTAAAACCTAAATCTTAAAAACCCTAAAACCCACACAGCTGTGAACAACTATTCTGTGGCACTGATCGCGTATGCAACCTGACCCTTGGCGAGGTGGTGGATGCTGATGACGGCAGTCCTTGCACCTCAGACGATTGCGCGAGCTGTTGCAGACAACTGACTTGTGCTGACGATGGCCTGACATGCACACCTGGGCAAATTCATAATATAAACGACGACTGTGAGGATGGTGATTGTTCTAATTGCTGTGAAGATCATCTGTGTATAGAATGCGATAATGAGGACCAGCAGTCGTCTGGCGATCCGTTCTGTACGGATGAACTCTGCTCTAATTGGTGAGAGTGACTGTTAAGAAAAAG